ACAGCACAGAAGTCCAGTTCACTTTGGTTCCCCCCATAAAGTATATTCAATTCAATTCAATCAATTCAATTCAATCAACGAGCCACCAAGCATACGGGTGTATTTCACACTGGTGAGAAGGAGGAGCCTGTTTATTTCTCCACTTTAAACGCCTTTATCCGGTGCCACACCATCTCCAGGCTTCTTATCCAGGACCCTCCATTTTCTAAGTGATGACCCTTGTACTCAATATAATCACAAAGGCTATTTCTATCAGTTCAGTACAGAGTTAGCAAGGCGTGGTCTGGCACGAGGCACGTGGAAATACTACTACTAATACTACTACTACTACTACTACTACTACTACTACTACTAACGACTCCATTCACTCCCAAAATGAATAAACAGCTCTGTTAGTATTTTTCCCGAGTTAATGTCCTCCATTCATTAAACAGGTTAAAAAAAAAAACGGTCTGATATGTTACGGTGAAGGAAAAGGGTAATTTAGTGTTCAAAGCAATTATACACATAGTTTATATTTGGAATAATGTACATAATATGTACGTTTAATTGTAGATTTTGAAGTCAGACAGTACATTTTGGCAAAGAAAGTATGATCACTTGCCTATTACATTTTTTCATTAACACTGTACATAAAGTTTTTTTTTAATGTTTTTATTTTAACTATTGGTATTTTTTAACAGAAAGACACTTTCTGAAGGGAATAACATTTTGTTTGTCTTACTTTTATCTAAAATTACTGTTGAATTTGTTAACCTTTGTCCTGTGACGGGGTGGAAAAAGAACCTCTGATCTCTGGATGTAATGTGCTAAAACACTTTCAGAAAATGGTGTCTGAGCTTGGAAAATATGTTTCATTGCCAGTGTTACATGTTCTATAAGCTATGAAACAAACAAACAAAAAAAGATTATGAGCAAAAACCTCAAAATTCAAAGGTCCAATCTTAACACCATTCCATGGAATGACCCATATATGTGTGTATACAGGGGGGGAAATAAGTATTTGACCCCTTGCTGATTTTGCAGGTTTGCCCACTTACAAAGAATGCAACGATCTATAACTTTAATCATATGTACATTCTAACAGTGAAAGACAGAATCCCAAAGAAAATTCCAGAAAATCACATCATATGAATTTATAAAAAATTGATAACCATCTGATGAGGAAAAATAAGCATTCTTTGTAA